GTGTGTGTGTGTGTGTGTGTGTGTGTGTGTGTGTGTGTGTGTGTGTGGAGAGAAGAGTTATATATATAACATATATATATGACTGGTTCTGAAATCAGGAAGACCTGAATTCAAATCCATCCTCATACAAATTCCTAGCTGTGTGATCTTGGGCAAGTCACTTAACCTTGTTGGCCTCTGTTTCCTCATCTGTAAAATGAGCTGGAGAAGTAAATGGCAAACCACTTCAGTATCTTTGCCAAAAAAAACCCAAATAGGGTCACAACGAGTCAGACAAAACTGAAAAATGAAAAAAATTCAGTAGACAGAGAGATTGATAGATATAGTTGCTAAGACCTGAGTTCCGATGTGACCTCAGACACTTACTAGCTGTATAACCTTGGTCAAGTCACTTAACCTCTACTTGCCTCAGTTTCCTCAACTGTAAAGTGGAGATAATGATAGTACCTACCTCCCAGGATTGTTAAATAAGAAAATCTTTGTAAAGTGCTTAGCACAGTGCCTGGCACATAGTAGGTGCTTAATAAATGTTTGTTAGTTGACTGGCTGTATGAAGTCTTAGTGCCTTCTTAGCAGATCATGCTAAGCTCTCCCCATTCCGAGTTCCCTTCTCTTTACAGAGCATCGTGGATTGAGAAATTATGTGCTATGTTGTAAGTTTGGACCCTGGGGGCTGCAGACCTGGGTTCATATACTGTGCTTATCATTTCTCATCTTTGAGGCTGGGTTTTACCATCAGTGAGTTAGGGCTAATAATTTCCCAAAAGGATGCTGGGAGGAAAGGGCTTTGTAACTTTTAGAGCAGGATAGAAATCAATGCTATCATTCCATTTTTCTGTAAACATTTGCTACTCACCTGCCCCTTGCAAAGCCATGAGTAATTAGTCTTAAGAGGCTTCTAATTAGCTCCTGCTTAAGTCTGTGAATACTGTGAATGCCCTAGAGATGCCCCTCAAAGTCCTCTGCTTACAGACATTACAGATGGAGAAGTCTCCTCTCCTCCTCACTAGGGCCAGTCCTTAGACCTGAGCCCCGGAGCTCGTCTCCCCTCTGCCGCAAGGGTGACTTTTTCTCTCTCTGTCTCTGCGTCTTTTCTATCTTTGTCCTTTAGCTTCCTCTCTATAGATCTCTCTCTGTTTCTGCCTCTCTCCTTCCGTTTCTGTCTCCCTTTCTCTCCCTCTCTACCTCTGTCTCTCTAACTTTCTTTCTCTGTCTCTGTTTCTGGACTCTGAAACTGGACTGGAAATCCTGAGTGCAGTGGAAAGAGTGTGTGTACAATGGGAAAGAGTCTGAAGATCTGAGTTTGAATCCTGCCTGGCTCTGACAGAAACTACCTGGGTGACGTTGGACAAGGCTCTTTAGCTCTCTGGGCCTCAGTTTCCTCCTCTGTAAAGTGACAGACTGGACAAGCGGACCCTGAGGTCCCTTGTGGCTCTAAATCCAGGTTCCTATCATTGGATCGATCATTCAATCGATCTCTGAACATTTATTAAGCAGCCACGACCTCCCTGCCTCCCCATTGTGCTGAGGGCTGCCACTCTCTTTTCACTCCCTGCTCCCATGTAGTTTTCTGGTCCTGAGCCCCCACAACCAGGAATGGAGGATTCTCCCTCTAGCACATCCTCCCAGCAGTCCTTCTCATCCCGAGGTTGATCCTTGTGCCCCTTCCAGCAATGACTCAGCCCACATTGTCCCGATTCTGCACCCAGTATATTTCCATGACTCAAGGTTTCCCAGCTGGGGAATTACTCACTTTGGTGAGATTTACTCCCTCAAAAAAAAAAAAAAACATTGGAGGATTGGCTTTGTTTCAGAGGAAGGCATTTCCTCCAGGGCCTTGTCCAACGCTGCCCCCTGCCCCGGCCCATTTTCCCTGCTCTCCTGCCCTCACTGTGCCCTTCAGATCCCCTCCCTAATCCCTCCTCCCTCCTCCCTCCTCCCCCTCCTCCTCATCAGCTCTCTGCTTTGTTCCCTCTTCACAGCTGGTTTCACGAGGACATCTCCCGGCATGAAGCAGAGAGTTTGCTCATGGGCAGGGACGTGGGCTTCTTCGTCATCCGAGCCAGCCAGAGCTCGCCTGGGGATTTCTCCATATCTGTCAGGTACTGACCGGTGCTACCCAGGTAGGCGCCTGCCTGCCATGGGGGGCCTGGGGAGACTGACCCAAGGAGGTGACCCTTTGGAAGGCTCGAGATGTGTGAGCAGATGTCAGAACACGGCGGAGGGTAGGGGAGGCCAGAGGCCAAGGGAGGCAGGGGAGAGCCCAGGACTCCCAGGTGGTCCATCGGACTTAGAGTGTAAATTCTGACATGGCTGTACTCTCATCGACCCCCACAAAAGTCCTCCTCAGAGACCCTGCTGGGGGTGGGCCTGGCCTCTGTCTGGCATCCCAAGGCCGAGCAACGTTCAACGTTTGCAGAGGCTCGGCAGCAGCCTGGCCACAGGACGACGGAACTTTCAGAAACATAACCTCCCGGTAATGTCTACCGAGTCTGCCCATCACTTAGTCAATCAACAAGCATTTATGATGTGCTTACAATTAGTCCAAGGGAGTTTCCCCAACCCCGTCGAGACCCTCAGGGAGGGAGAGTTGGAGGGGCCAGACAAAAGGCTGGCTGCAGGCTGGAGGTCAAGGCAGATGTTCCTTAGAATCATAGGATCCCAAGCCCTGGAAAAGATGCAAGCAACTCTCCCAGGGCTATACGGCAAGTGAGGGGCTGAGGCAGAATCTGAACTCGGTCCCTGGGACTCCAAGTTTGGGCCTCTGCCTGCATCACCTCCAGCCACCTTCTCTCTCTCTTTAGGCAGCAGCTTCCTCCTTTCTAAAAGGAGGGGATCGCACTGGGGCAGGAGAGCGCTGCTGCCTCATATACCTGAAAGCCTCACGGAGGCAGCAGCATAGTATGGGGGCAAGTCCATCAGCTCTGCAGAGCACCAGGTTCAAATCCCACCACTGCTGTTTACTCACTAGATGACCTTGGATAAGTGATTTTCCCTCTCTGAGCCTCAGTTTCCTTCTCTATAAAATGAGGAAGTTAGACCAGACGCTGTGTGGTCTCCCCACCAGCTCCAGAGCTATCTGCTCCTGTGACTATGAGCTTAGTGACCTTGGGCAAGTCACTTAAAGGCTCCGTGCCTTAGTTTCCTCATCTGGACTGGAGAAAACAAGCTAGATGATATCTGAAAAGTGCTTTAGAAACACCAGCCATTATATTGTTATGAGACGGGGTCTGAGGTCTCTCCCAGCTCTCAACCTATGACCTTACGAGTCACTGAATAGAAGATGACCACCTGAAAATATCGACAAGACTAACAGCTGACTTCATTTAGCCCTTGAAGGTTTGGAAAGCACTCTGCAACCATCTAAATGGAGGCGTGGATTGAGTCAGGAAGCCCTGAGTTCAAATCTGGTCTCAGGCTAGCTATGTGACCCCGAGCAAGTCATATAACCTCTACCTGCCTCAGTTTCTCCCACTGTAAAATGGGGATCATAATAGAACTACCTCCCAGTGTTGTTGTGAGGATCCAACACAGTAATATTTTTAAAATACTATTAAAATGCGGCTAGGTATTATTATCATTATCATCATCTCGTATTCTCACAACAGCCCCATGGGTAGTATTGCTGCTCCCATTTTCAGGATAAGGAAACTGAGGCTGAGAGATGTTACATGACCTACACAGTGTCTGAGGTGGGATATGAACCCAGGTCTTCCCGACGTCCCATTCGTTCTACCTGTGACACACCCAGCTGCCTCCCCAACATGACCCTGGTACTGGCCAAAGCCTGGAGAGCTGGAAGGAAAGATGGGCACTGGCCAAGGCTCACAGCATCCCTGGTCAGTTGGGTTATCAATCAGCGGAGGAGGGTCTCGGCTGCTCCTGGGGGCTACCTCCAAGTGTGCAGGCAGGCAATGAGCTTTGTCTTCAAGGGCAAGGGGGGCAGACTCACCAGTGAACCTCATTAAGCCCCTTTGATTGTAGGGGACAGAGGGGGGCCCTCCTTCCAATCCCACGCTATTTTTTAAACAATTGCTGAATTATTGCTTTTAAGTACTCTAATCACAATCTAGGTTAACAAATTAGAAGTCCTGCGAGGTCTGTTTTAATATTATTGTCATGTTGATTGCAAATCATTTCTATTTCCATCCACAGAGAAATGATTTGTAATTAGCACAACAACTTCCATCCAGCTGTGGGGTTGCCAGTGTTGGAATGTAGCCTCATCCCTTTGGCAGGTTAAACATTCCCCTAGGAAGTTTGCTTGGGGCACATAGTAGGTGCTTACATAAAAATCAATCAAGCATATCTGAAATGGATTAATTAGAGGGGAAAGAACACTCCACAGCAGTAAACTGCTGAGTGGTCCTGGTCAAGTCTCTGGGCATCAGTGTCTCCATATGTCACACGAGAAGCACAGACCAGTCCCAGCTCGATGATCAATCAGTGCATTTGTTAAGTGTTCCTGTGTATCAGGTAGAAAAAAGACCGAAAAGAGGAGCAGTGCCTGCCCTCAGGTAGCTTGCTCTCTACAAAGAGAGACAACATCCCAACTCATTTTCTTAGCAGATGCTTCTTCCAGCCCAGGTCCGTTGCGAAAAGTCACAAACTCCAAATCAGTGACGGTTAAACTAATGAGGTTTGGTTGGTCAGAGAGCCACGGCTGGGCCATCTTGCTTCCAGTTTTGCCACAATACATATTGGAGGCAGTGTGCATAGAGTGCTGGGCTTGGAGTCAAAAAGATCCCCGAGTTCAAACCTTCCTCTGACACTTGGTAGCTGAGTGACTCTGAGCAGATCACTTTAACCTCTAACCCTAACCCACTCTTTAGCACTTATACACTTTAACCTCTAACCCTAACCCACTCTTTAGCACTTATACACTTTAACCTCTAACCCTAACCCACTCTTTAGCACTTATCCACTAAGCCATCAGCAGCTGGGTGGCTCAGTGAATAGAGCATCTGGCCTGGAGTCAGGAAGACCTGAATTCAAATGTGGCCTCAGACACTCAGCAGCTGTGTGACTCTGGGCAAGTCACTTAGCCCTATTTGCCTCAGTTTCCTCATCCATAAAATGAGCTGGAGAAGGAAATGGCCAACCACTCCAGTATCTTTGCCAAGAAAACCCCAAATGGGGTCATAGAAAGTTGGACAAGACTGAAATGACTTAACGACACTAAGCCATAGATAGATTGCAAATGTCTCTGCGAAGGGAGTTGCCACACCAGGAGGTCCCCCCAATGTGGTCCAGAGAAGCAATGTATAAGAATGGAAAGGCACTGAAATGGAGTTAGGAGCCCTAGCGTGGAATCCTGGGCCTGCCTCTAACTTGCTGCATGACCTTGGCTAAGCCTCTTTTCCCTCCTGGGCCTCAGTTTCCTCACCTGTAAAAGGAAGAGTTGGAATCAGATGAGTTCTAAGGTCTTTTCAAACTCTATCATCCTACGTCCTCTCTGAGTTTCAATTCCTTCTTCAGTAAAATGAGGGGCCCCAGGCCCAGAGTGGGGGATCCCAGGATGCTGGCTCAAGTCCTACATGAAGGGGCAGCTAGGTGGTACAGTGGATAGAGCACCGGCCCTGAAGTCAGGAGGACCCGAGTTCAAATCCGGCCTCAGACCAAACACTTGACATGTACTAGCTGTGTGACCTTGGGCAAGTCACTTAACCCCAATTGCCTCACCAAAAAAAAAAAAGGAAATCAAGTCCTACAGGAGACCTCGGAGGCTGTCTCATCCGGCCCCCTCATTTTACAGTTGGGAAGACTGAGGCCCATGTTCATGTGCCCAGAAAACCCTGAGGCTAGATTTGAACTCAGGTGGTCCTGACTCCAGGTCTACTCCCACAATCCCACACTGCGTCTCTCACAACAGAGAAGATGCAGAAGGACTTTAGGTGCCATAAAGTCCATTGCATCGATGTGTCGAGGGTTATTGCTGTACTGATAACTCACATTGAGACAGATCTGGAATGTTGAGCTGGGAGGGATCCCAGAAAATCCATGACCTTACAGGGGAGGAAACCGAGGCCCAGGAAAGGAAAGTGATTTGCCCATGGCCACACATGTAAACTATACAGGAGCTGAACCCAATTCTTGGAAGGCGGCTGGGTATAGGCAGGAGTGTACAGGTAAATGTTTAACAAACAGCTCTCTGAAGGAGGGAAAGGGAGTTTCTTCTGCATTATTAACACCTTCTTAAGACTAGGCAATCACTAAATAGGAAATCGAGTCCTGATACGCATTGTTTGCCAATTTCTGAGGTATGAACACCCACCCTGAATGCTTATCCACCAGCTCTCATAAGCCTGAGCTGACTCCAGCACCCCTTGGGTGTAGGGGACTTAGAGGTTAGGAATCCTGCCTCAGGCACTTCCTGGCTGTGTGACCCTGGGCTTGTCCCTGCGCTCCTCTGAGCCTCAGTTTCCTCCTCCATCCAGAGGGAGGCAGGGGGCTTAATGACCATCCCTCCTTCCCCCGCTGAGCCCAGGACGCCCCTGTTCTGGGCAGCTCAGAACCACCTCCCCCAGGATCCAGCTGGCCCCAGCATCTGAGGAGACCAAGGGGGAATCTCCCAGGGGCCTTTTTAACTTGACATCAAAACCATCCTCAGCTCCTCCAGGCCCCATTCTTGTTAGTTCTGCCTTACCTGCGATTTCCGCACCATCTGCAGTGAGGGCCTGGGGGGGCCGCCTCCCTCTGCCGTAGCAATGCGGCTCCTCGTTAGCGTGGCTGACGTTATTATCGTTCTGGGCGGCTCATAAATCTGGGCAGGAACATCTCATCACGCCGCCCAGAGACCCATCTTTTAAGATGAATTCTCTCTCCCCGTCCTCAGCCCGGATAACCACGCCCAGCTAGTAAGCCTCTGAAACAGCTGCCCAGTCCAGCCTGGGTTCTGGTACCTTATTTCTAAAGGCCCCCAGCTGGCCACTTGTAACCAGCATCCGGAACCGGCACCGTAACGACCATAGGGCAAGCAGGGCTCTTCCCCAGGATGCCAGCATCCAGAGGGGCACGTGGCCTCCATCCACAGCAATTCAAGTCACCATCCCAGGTGGCTGAGGCTCACCCAGAACTTGGTCCATGATGCCCAAAGCCCTATAGCCAGGCTGCCCTGCCCCAGGCCCAGTGCTAACAAGGCTGGCCTCCACCATGGGCCATTGCCTTCCACCTCTCCTCCCTGCTTTGCCTTCTCCGCTCCCTCTCACAAGGAGGGTGGGTTGGGGTCTATTGGCTCTGCCACAGGGGCCCAGCCCAGCCTCAGCCCAGGAGGGATGGATGACTTTGCCTGGAGGTACTGTCCTCAGTACTCTCTCCTGCATTGACTGCAACAAGAATTTCAGGTTTATAATCTGTTAGACGACTCTGACCGGGACCTCTAACCTGGAATCCTCCAGATAACAGAAGCGTAGTTGTTTATAAGCTTGAACCCTTGGATGAAAGATAACAAAAGAATGATCACAACTTCCTTGTGATAATATCTCCCCCCCACCCCCCACTGTTCCTTCTCTTCCTCCTCCTCCTCCTTCCCCAAGCATGTTAGCAGCCTTAATGAATGCCTGCCCCATCACGTGGGGTTGAAATGGAAAGAGCTGCCACCCAGGGACGAAGTTAATAGCAATCACAGCTAAGAGCTAGAGAGCTCTTAACAATTTACAAAGCAGCTTCCCATCCATAATCTATATAAACCTCACTGCAGCCCTGTCAGACAGGCAAGGCAGGTCCGTCAGGCAGGGAAGGAATAGTGTCAGAATCAAGAAGACCTGAGCCTGAGGATCAGATCTGGAACTTACAAACCCTGAGCCTCAATTTCATCATCCGCAAAATGGGCCTAAATTGTTCAACCACTAGCATTCTATCTCTCACCTCCAAACCTTTGTACTGGCTGTCTCCAATTCCTGAGATGCATTCTCTCTTCACTTAGGCTTCTTAGAATTCTTGGTTTCCTCCGAGGTTCAGATTTTACCTAAGGTCTTTCCTGACTCCACCCACCCAGCCAGGTTGCTAACTGAGAGATAGTGTGGTATAGCAGATAGGGCACTGGACTAGGAGTCAAGCCCTGGGTTCAAATTCCACCTCAGATAACTTACTAGCTGCGTGACCCTGGACAGGTCACAACCTCTCTGTGCCTCAGTTTCCTCATCTGTAAAATGAGAGGGTTGGATTCCATGGCCTCTAGGGTCCCTTTGAGCTCTAAATCTGTGATTCTAGCAGGGGTGGGCAACCTGCAGCCTCCAAGTCACATGTGCCCTCTAGGTCCTCAAGAGCAGCCCTTTGACTGTGTGTCACAGGACCGCACTTAAGGATCTAGAGGGCCAATGTGGCCTCGAGGCCACAGGTTCCCCACCCCTGTATCTAGCGCCTCGCCCCCCAGATTATCTTGTACCTATTCTGAGTGGACTCACATATGTCCATCTTATCACCCCCCCCCATTAAAATGTAGGTTCCTTGAGGGCAAAGACTTATTTTTGTCTTTGTGACTCTAAGACTGGGCACAGGGCCTGGAATATAGCAGGCACTTAATAAATGCTCATCGTGGGGGCAGCTAAGGTGGCGCAGTGGATAGAGCACCAGCCCTGAACTCAGGAGAACCTGAGTTCAAATCCGGCCTCAGACCAAACACTTGACACTTACTAGCTGTGTGACCCTGGGCAAGTCACTTAACCCCAATTGCCTAAAAAATGAATGAATGAATGAATAAATAAATGCTCATCTTCCCATTAGTTGATTTAATCAATAGATATTCATTAAACATCTCTTATGGTTCAAGCACTATGCTATATGCTCTAGGCATAAAATGACAAAATATTCTCTGCCCTCAAGGAGTTTACGTTCTGCTGGAATGAAGCTCGCCTCTCTCGGTGGATTTTTGTCCATTTTTTTCAAGCATTTATTCTCTCTCCCTCCCACCCCCTCCCCGATTGAACAAATTTTTTAAAAAAATAAAGATAAAATCCTCATATTCATAGTCCAACTAATATTCCACAATCCAAAATACTCGTCGTCAACAAGACAAATTCTCCCATTGGCTAAGTCCAAACAGAGCTCCACCACCTCTCTGGAGATAGGGCGATAGATAGCTTCATGGTGATGTTGTCTCCTATCCCAAAGACGGTGAATGAAGTCCGGCTGCTCCGCCCCCGGGATCATCCTCCTCCAATCAGGACTGGCTGCGGTTCATGAAACCTCGGAGGCCCTCGAGTTCGGTCCACTGATGGCCGAGACCCCTCCCTTCCCCATCCCCACCAGAGGCTACCCGACCTTTCTCTGAGATCCTCCATGGAGGAGGCACCCCTCAAGGCAGCCCTACCCCACTCTCATCCTTGGGAAGCTTCTCCTGCCCTCCAGGCCCAAACCTGCCTCTTTGCCATTTCCCCCATTACTGCTAATTCTGTCTTCTGGGGTCAAGCAAAACAAAGTCTAATCCTTCCAAGGATCCTAGGACTGTAAATTTCATAGGATTCATGCATTTGCCTGCTTCATAAGAGATGCTTAAAAATCAGCAGCCAGGGGGCGACATAGTGCACAGAATGGGCCAGAAGTCAGGAAGACCCAAGTTCAAACCCAGCCTCAGAGGCTCATTAGCCGAGTGACCCTGGGCAAGTCACTCTCTGCCATAGTTTCCTCATCTGTAAAATGGGGATAATGATAGCACCTACCTCCCTGACTTGTGAAGATCAAATGAGGAAGCGCTTTGTAAAATCGCTTCATAAACCTTCGAGTGCTAGATTACTGCTAAATATTATTCACTATTGTAAATTCTTGTGACTAGGGAAGGTCCCCAGGAGGGAGTCCTAGTATATTTTTACAGTCCCGTATTTAGAGCTGGAAGGGGCCCGGGGTCTTCTGGTTCAGCCCCTCCATTTGCCAGAGGAAGGAACGGGGCAAGTTTTTGCTCTGGTGGTCTTCCTCGCTTTGACTTGCAATCCTCAGATTCCTATCTGTAAGTTTCCTTCCCCTCCTCAATCCTTCGATCTTTGACCTTAGAATATCTGATGACCGGTCATCAAGCCCCTGCCCATCTCCTCTTTAATGATGGGAACCCTGCCTTTCCAAAGCATCTTGTTCAGTTTTGGGTTGGGTTTTACGTGTGTGCGCGCGCGTGTGTGTTTGTTTGTTTTTGGTAGATCCAATTACTAGGAAAGTTCTCCTGATGTTAAGCTGAAATCTGATTCTCTGCTATGCTCCCCTCCTCCGCTACCCTCCTCCCTCCTCCCACTGTCTAGGGCCAAGCAGAATCAGGCTAATCCCTCTTCCCCAGGACAGTCCTTCAGATACCAGATGAGTTTTAAAACTGAGTCCTTGACCATCCTTTGGCCTCCAGCAGTGTTTGCCATTTGTTAGGGTTTATTTGATTGTATTTTTTTTTTTTGTCTCTAGTAGAGATGCTGGTTTGAGTGTCTTTCACAGAATCTGGCTTGTAAAATGCCTTTCTGCAGATTATAAAATCCCTGGTCGTGTGGGAGGGAGCACCTGGCTTGCCATCCCCTCGGGGTTGTGGCCCCCATCCTCCCTAGACAGAGCTGTAGGTCCAGTCTGGGCTGGGTGAGCCTCTTGGCGGGGTGTATGCGGGAGGATCTCCTTTTATAATGGACCCTTTGGGTTCTGCTTGGGCCCAGGCATGAAGAGGATGTCCAGCACTTCAAGGTCATGAGAGATGCCAAGGGCAACTACTTCCTGTGGACAGAGAAGTTTCAATCTCTGAACCAGCTGGTGAATTTCTACCGGACCTCCTCTATCTCAAAGCAGAAGCAAATCTACCTGAGGGACGGGAGCCGAGAAGACCAGGTAGCACCCAGGGACACTCCCAGGGGAAGGGAACCCCGCGGAGAGAGAGCATCAGACTTGGGGGCACCATTTCTACAACAGTCGGTCAGGGAGTGAATGAACAAGCATTTATTAAGCACCTGCTATGTGACAGCCACTACAGGAAGTGTTGGGGCAAAAAAAGAAGAAAGGCAAATAGAAAGGAAGGCAAAAAAGACCTCGCATTCTAATGGAATGTAACAGAGTTTTGCATATGGTGGGTGCTTAATAAATGCTCCCTGAGTGAAACTGAGTTTGAACAGGGGAGACAACGTACCAATAACTAGATACATACAAGATACATCCTGGCTAACTGGGAGATAATAGAGTGAAGGCACTGGGGGCTGGGCCTCGTGAGAAGAGGAAAAACCTCCCACACAAAGTTAGGGCTGAGTCATAAGGAAGTCAGGAGGCAGAGAGGAAGAAGGATAAGCATTCCAGGCTAGGGGACAGCAGAGGCATAGTCAGGAGAGGGAGTATCTCCAGCTCTTCCTAGCTCTGAGATCCCAAGTCGTCACATCACATCGCCTCAGTTTCCTCATCTTTAAAATGGAGACAAAATGGCACAATGGACAGAGAGCTACTCCAGAGGTAGAGAAGACCTGGATTCGAGTCCTGCCCTCTCTGGGTCTCAGTTTCCTTCTCAGTAAGAGGGGAGGCGTTGGAATAGATGCTAGAAATAACATGGTGCTGGGGAAAGACCACTAAGTCAGAAGTCAGAGGACTTGGGTTCGAATCCTACCTCTCATTCTCATTGCTGATGTGTCTTTAGGCAAGTCACTCCATCTCCCATGGGCCTCAGTTTCCTCCTCCGTAAAATGAAAGCATTGGATTAGATGACCTTGGAGGCCCTTCAGCTCCAGGGTTATGAAATGGGAAACGAATAAAGGCTTCCAATTCCCAGGATGTGTCCATGTGCTATGACCCTGCCCTCTAATTGACACAGCTGGGACAGAAAGTCCTAGAGTAAGAGAAGAACCCTAAATTTAGACCTGGGAGGAACCTTCCTGGAGGGGGTGTGGAGGGGTTGGAATGATCTAATGCCCAGGGAAAGGCATAAGTCTGTGTGTGAGGGATGCCAGGCTTGGGAATTTCTCAAGTTTCAAGCAACCTTGGTGTATCTGGGAAATTTGGAGGTCCCCCTGTGAAAAAGTGTGGGGACTGGAATGGATCCCTTTCTCTGAGCTGGCCCTCAATACTTGCTTCTTGGACTTCTGGTGGTCATGGAAGAAAGACACAGGAGACCTGAACCCAATGCTTAACCCTGTGCCTGGCACATAGTAGGCACTTAATAAATGCTTATTAACTTGACTTGGATCAGGAAAAGGGGGGTGCTAGGTAGGCAAAGTTGGGAGCTGGTGGGAGGAAATGGGCTAAGTCACTTTCCCTCTCTGAACCCCAGTTTCTCCATCTGTAAATTGGTGAAAGTTAATCTTTGTGCCACCTCCTCACAGGGTTTTTGTGGGGAAAGCTGTTATTAAATTGTGGACTTGGGAGTCATGAGTTCAAATCCCATCTTTGCTATTTATCACTTCTCTCTGGGCGTTGGTTTTTCCCTCGTCAAATGAGCGGACCGGACGATCTGACCGCTGAGTTCCCTCCCAGTTTTAGACGCAGCATCCTACGAGGCATCTGACGTGACCTATGGTTCCCTTTGTTACCCCGCTAGGACCGGTGGGGTGGGAGCCTGGAACGACGTCTCCAGGAAGGGCTTCACATCGGTGGAGGTGGAGGGGAAGAGACCCGTCCTTCAACAAACAGGAAACTGTCTGATCACCCTTCTCCCCTGCAATCCCATTACCAGGTGCAGCAGACACTGCCCCAGCAGCAGCTGGCTACCGTGATGTCCCAGCAGCACCAGCAGCAGCCGCAACAGCGCTACCAGCAGCATCATCAGCTTCAGCCGGTACCCTGGGAGAAGGAGTCAGGGGTGTGGCAGGGGCAAGGAGGGTGGTTGGCTTGGGCTAAGTCTGGGCCAACAGCGACACCAGACTCGGCTGTATGGCAAAGAGGAAAGGATGCCAGACTTGGGATTGGGAGGCCATGGGTTCCGATTCTCCCTCTCACACTGACCTACTATGTAACCCTAGGCAAGTCACTTCATTTCTCTGACCTCAGTTTCCTCATCTGTTACATGGGAATACCTCACAGGGTCGTTTTGAGGATGAAGGACGATAAAGTCGTGGGCTGATAAGATGTTCTTCCCCAACGAAGTCATGAGGAAGAAAGAAGGGTTAGATGTGAGGGAAGCCTTTGGCTCAGAGCGCTCTGGGTCCTCTCTGCAGAGCGCCCCTTAACCCAAGCCAAGAGCTCTTGGCGGTAACTCAGAGTTAGCCCTGTTGAATGTAGCCCTTCCTGGTACCCCAAGACCAGGAGCAGGGGTTCTCAGAAGCTGGTGCTGGGGCACGTAGGTTCTGTCAGGTCCTCCCGAGCTGGGCAAACTTCTGATGGGGGTTGGGGAGAAAGGGGAAGGTGAGTTGGATGTCCGAGAACCAGTCAGGATGAAAGACCATCTGACCACGAGAGGCGTAGCAGGTTTGTGGTCAAGGGTGCTGTGTCCGAGGGTGAAAAGGACTCCAGCCGGTGAGGCCACTCCTTGAAGCACTAAAGGAGCCCCACGGCGACCATCAGGCCACTCAGAGAGAAGCTTGTTGACCTCCTCCTCGGATTCGCGTCGGCCAGGGCCTCTAACCCCCAGGAAGGGGCAGCTGAAAGCTGCAGTTTGTAACTTGAGAGCCAGAAAGGAACCCAAAGGCTAGCCTGTGCTGAGGTCCAAGGAGTGACTCATTCAAGGTCATACGTAAGATCCCAGTTCTAGAGTTAGAAGAAACATCCAGTTCATCCCCTCCCCCATTTTATAGATGGGGAAATTGAGGTCCAGAAAAGTAAAATGACTCAGCCAGACATCACACGGGGAATCAATGGCGGAGCCAGGGTCTGAACCCAAATTCACATCATTCACATTTCTCTAAGTATCTTCCTTACAAGCCCCTGGGAGGCAGGCCAGGCCAGTATTATTAATTAGCCCCATCAGAATATTAACTAATATAAAGAGCGCTGGATCTGAAGTCAGAAGACTTGGGCAAATCACTTCCCTATTTCCGACCTCAGTTTCCCCATCTGTAAAATGGAGAGGTTGGCCTCCAAGGTCCCTTCAGGTCTCAGATCTAAATATGCCACTATGTCAATAATTCATAATATTAATATTAATAATAATAATAATAATAATAACCTGCAGTTACAGAGCGCTTTAAAGCCTATAAAACCTTTTCCTCACAACACTGCTGGGGGGAGGAATGATAGTGGAAAGGTCACCAGATCATAGAATTAGAGCTGGAAGGGACCTTAGAGGTCACTGAGTTCACCTTCCTAATTTTACAAATGAAGAAACTGAGGCCCAGAGGGTTTAAGTGGCTTGCCCAGGGCCATACAGATAGCAAGTATGGAACGTTATTATACCCCTTTGACAGATGAGGACATTGAGTCCACTCCAGATCAGGTCTTTTTTCCCCTCAATCAGAGAGTACTAATTAATGCTCTCCCTTCCTAGGACCGTCGAGGAGGCAGCTTTGACATCAGCGATGGGCACCGGATGAGCCCTGAGATGAACCCGGCCCTCATGCACCGGAGACACACGGACCCTGAGCAGCTGCAGATGATTGGGGTAGGTGTCGGGCCTTTCCTGACTTCTCCCAGACAGCAGAAAGAAGGTGGAGCTGAGGGGGCTGGAGGGAAGGAGGAGGAGGGGAGACCGTTCTTCCCTGGGGGATAGTTTGTCCCTCAGTACCCTGGGCAGCAGCAGGGACCTAGATGAACCATCCCAGGCCTAGAGCCAGTCCTTTTGACCCCAGGTGATGGAGGCAGGAGGATTCAGCCTGTTACCCTCACATCACGTTGCCCCATCTTGTACCTACTTGCTTAGTTCCTGGCCTCGCCTCTGCTGGAACGAGACCAGAGAGCAGCGAGCAGAAATGAGCCCCCCACATGGGGCACACCTGCTGGGAACTCCTCCCTACCCCAACTCCCTGGGCCTGCTCAGGCTAATGGAAGTGCAGGGATTGAGCCGGATGCCAGCATTCTGCAGCGGCAGGCTAGAGCACCAAGGGCCTTTGGGCACAGGGACAAATGGGAGGGGTCTTCCTCCGGCCCTGGCAGGCCCTGGATTTAAGGCTCTCTGCCTGACCTGAGAGAGGGTGGAATGGGTGGGCTTCCTTAGAAGTAGAGGGCTTCCCACTGTTATCAGAGGCCTTGTACTGGGTGAGGGGTGGCTTTCCAGAGGATCCTTCCTCCTCTGCAATCCAGAGATTCCTAAGTCAGCCTGGAATTCTGTTCCCTGTGAAGACAGGGGAGGAGGGGAGCCTGGCAGGAAGCATGTCCTTGGTCCAGCTCAGCCCAGGGCCTTGAGGCACCAATATTTGCCAAGGGACCTTGCTTCCAGTGAACACACCCCAAGTGAGGCATTGCCACCCTCAGGGCAGCATCTGCCCAGAAGACAACTCATCATCCATCTATCCTGGCTCCATGACAGTAACTGTGAGCTCTGTTATTACAAGCTTGAGGCCAGTTTGTTTCTGTCACTGAAAGAATCTCAGAAGTGATTTAGAGGAATTAGCTAAGGAGTAGAGACTTCTCTGGACTCCCAAGCTGGCCTTTCTAGTCAATGTAACAAGCATTTAATAAGCACCTACTATGCACTGGGCACTGTACAAAGACAGAAGGCAAATGGTCCCTGTCCTCAAAGAGTGGACTTTCTAACTGGGAGGGGTAACCCTTCCCCAAAGAAGAAGATACCCAATTCATATGAAATGAGACCACTGACTTGGGCGGATGCCTCCTACCCAGGAGACTCTGGACAAGTCACTTAATGTCCCAGGGGCTCAGTTCCTTCATCTGTAGAGTGGGGGTGCTGGACTAGTGGCTTCTGGGGTCCTTTCCAGCATTAGAGCTGAGCTCCTGAATACAAAATAATCTGAGGAAGAGGAGAACAGTAACAAGTGTGTGGGGGGGGGGGGGGGGTCTTCAGGAAAGGACAGCTGGACGAGGCCATTCCCAAGGCCCTGAAGGAAGCCAGGGAGGACAGTGGGCACAGCAGGGAAGGAAACATCGTGCCCAGCTGTGCCAAGGCACAAAGGCGGGAGACTGGGGATAGCTGGCAGGCAGTCTCCTTATCTTGTTTGTAGAAGGTGCTTCTGTTTCAAGTTTTCCTCCTGTGGTTTCAAGAGGTCAAGGAGGCCCTCATGAACGAGCCAGGGTCAAGAATTAGACGTTTCCCTTCCTGACTACTCGAAGTCCAGCTGTCCCAAGGGGCTCAGAGGCCGCCTGCCCCCAAACCAGACCTCAATCGATCAATCGATCAACCAAAGAGTATTTATAAAGCACCTACTAGGAGCCAGGCATCTGCTAGGTGTTGGTGTATGATATAAAGACAACATTTAAACAGTCCCTGCCCTCAAAGAGCTCACAATCTAATGAAATGTACGTGGTCCTCTTTGAGAAGGAAGGACAAACAGCCATCCGCCATCATATCCCCAAGTAAGGGCCGTCCAGCCTCTGCGGGGGGACCTCCACTCACGGGGAACCCACTACCTCCAAGGCAGCCCAAAGATCCACTTTGGATAGTTCTAATCCTTGGACCCGGGTTCAAGTCTCACCTCTGACACATGCACGTTGTCTAACCACAGTGCTCCCGCCTGTCACTGATCTGCACCAGTGGAGAGCGTTTCCACACCAGGAGTCCCCGGGTCTGAATTAAGCCTTGCTAGGAAGCCTTTCCTCATGAAGCAGGACTAATTTGCTGGAGAAGGAGGGCTGGGGCCTCCCATGGAGACCGCAAGCCTCAATTTGCCTTGAATTCCACCCACGGTTCCTGGTTCTGCCCCTGGGGGTGAACCCTTGGGGAGAGAGCTTCTCCCCGGGTAGGGAGGAGGGAATGGCGTAGCCTCGGATTCCCCGACTCATGTTCTTCTTGCCTGTTCCCCATTCCCCTGCCCCCTACAGAGAGTGCGCTGGGCCCGAGCCCTGTACGACTTTGAGGCAGAGGAAGAGGATGAGCTCGGCTTCTGCATCGGCGAGGTGGTCGAGGTCCTGGACAGCTCCAACCCATCCTGGTGGACCGGCAGGCTGCACAACAGACTCGGCCTCTTCCCAGCCAACTACGTGACCCCGCTCCTCCGCTGAAGCCAAGGCTCGGGGTTCAGATGCTGACTCTTGCCCCAGTCATCTCGGGTGGAAGCCAAGCCTCGGGGCCAGGGCCTGAGCCAGGCACCGAGGGCGGAAGGGGACAGGGACCGGAATTCTGCAAAGGTCCTCGATGCGCATTTGCAAACACACACTGTGTTGTTACTGTAATTTATTGGTGAGGTGGATGATAAAGCAGTTTACAGAAAAGGCAGAGGGTGGGCGAAAACCGTCCTTAAAAGTTGTCTCCGCGTTCTCTTCCACCCTGTTCCTGGGCTTTCCCCCAAGATCAGGGAAGCCCAGACCGCCTCCCCAGAATGGGGTGGAGAACAACAGGGGTGAGATGGTGTTTGGCCAGGGCAGGTTTCTGCCTGCCACCCTTTCCCTGCCCCACCCCCGCTCTGCCAGCTGAGTCTGCAAACCCCAGCTCCTCTTCCGCGGTCACAGCAGGTGCCAGCTGTCTCCTCTGCAGGGAGATGGCTTCTGGGTTGTGGCTGGGCAGGGCAGCCACAAGGCCGGTGGATGGAGAGACAAAGTGGGGGTGTGGGGGACAGAGCACAGAAATGGGAATCAGGAAGACCCCTTGGACAGACAGTCTGGGGAAGCCTATGGGCTCCTTCTCAGAATAATGTTTCTTAAATGCATAGGACAAAGTACAGAGAATTACAAAGGAAACCAGGTAGCCAAAAATGCACTTTTTTAAAAAAAAATTCAGAGGTCCTAGGATGAGAATCCCTGCTCTAATCCAATCCCCTCATTCTAGGGATGAAAAAATTGAGTCCCAAGGAGGTCACACATGTCACAAGCATCTCATCAGGATTTGAACCCAGATCTCCTAATTCTCTTACCACTGAACCACACTGCCTCCCATATAGCATGAGGGAAGAGGAATAAGAGTCTTGGGGATTCTGTCACGGGAATCTGAGAAAGCCCTGGCTTTCCCAAGCCTCTCTTCTAAGAATCCAGTCAACACTGAGTTGAGATAGATCATTCATCAGTATGGCTTAGCATGCATTTGCTGATCCATCCTCAAAGCTACCATATAGTTCATATGTCCCCATTGCACAGATGGAGAGACTGAGGCACAGCAGGCCAAGCAAGGGGCTCAAGCCTCAGGAGACCCACTTGAACAAGAGCTTGCTTTTCCTTAGAAGAAGGAGGAGGGTGGAATTTGCAAAGTGCTCTGAGGCCTGGAGACCAGAGTAAGAGGGACAGTCATATTGATAACACCCAAGGATGTCCCCTCCTGATTTTCTCTGTTTTGAAGATGTCTGGCTCAGTGGCACCAGAAAGAGACCTGACTGCATGCGCATGTCGCCTGAGGAGCCTAATTAAATGTGACTCTGGTGGGGGGCAGAGTGTTAGGTTTATGAAGCATCCCAAGCTCTGTCTGGCCACCAAACCTGCCTTTGTGAAGTGACCAGCATTGCTCTGGAGAGAAAGTACTCCCCACTCCTCCCCCATCCCCCATCCCCGGCTCTCCTCGAGAAGACTGCCAGGTGTTTTTGAAACCAGCTTGGGGGGGGGGGGTGGCACAAGGAACAGGGCTTAAGGCATTGGCAGGAGAATTGGGGGAAGGAGGAGGGTGCTGCTGGGGACTCGTCGCTCTGGGGGGACGTGCCCAGCAAACAAGTCCACATTGAGGGTCTTCTCGTATCTTTACAGTGAAGTGGATGAAGGTGCTGGGACAAATGTGCCAGTGTGGCAACAGGGAGGGTGGGGGATGGGGGAACATCCCTTCTCTCTTTTTCACTTGCCCTACTTCCTGCTAGAGGAAAGGAGGGGTAGGGGAGGAGGAGCAGCTCTGGCCCAGAAGAATGTGCATTCTTATCCCCGTGGGCCTTCGGAGCAAAAGGGTGCCGCACAATGGGACCGGTGGTGGGTCTGCAGGAAAGATGAGAAGATGGCCGGGAAATGGGGGGGGGGGGGGGGGAGGAGAGGATGAGCGATGAGTGCTCAGCGGTCCCAGGAAAGGGAAACAATGAAAGGGGGAAAACAGGAGGGGAGAGAT